ACCCTGAATGTCGTTGGATGCATGAAACCCCTTGTGGTACCGGCGTTGACGAACACCACCATCCCATCCTTCTATGAATATGTTGCGGTGGCCCCCGTCTCGGTGTTGATGTGTCGGACGCTGAGCAGCTCCGGGCGCCCCGTGCCCGGTTGGCCCGCCGTGACATGCACCGCCACGCTCAGCTTCTCCCGGAAATCTCACCACCCCAGCGCAGGTATGCGTTGATCGCCTTGATTGCCAAACGGGGCCGGTCGCTGTGCTCTCGCTGGATGAACCGCCGCTGCATCCCGGGCTGTATGCGCATCTGCTGCATCAACCACTGTGCCCCATCCACCGGCCACCGCGTGCGGCTGTCCTTTAAAAAATTCCACCCCGTCCCTCCCTGGGTGGGGTCATCCCGCATCGTGGACCATGGGATGGCTGGTGGCTGCTGTCCATTCAGCTCATTCTCAAACAACAACTCCTCCCGCAGGATCCGCCTCGTCGCTCCCACCAGCCCGTGTGTGAAGCCCCGGAAGTCGCCCATGGTGAAGTGCATGTCCTTGTACAGCAGCTCATCCCCTCCCATCCAGCCGACGTGGCCGGGTGTGGTGTTGCTGTAGTGCACCTTCAATCCATACGTGCGCAGGTCCAGCATCCACTGCATGGGACTGTGTGTGCCGCGGACCATGAATGCCTCCATGAACAGCTCAAGCCATTCCTGAAACGATCGCTGCTTTCTGTTGTTTGAAGTTGACCCGCCGATGGATATCGTGGCCGGGGGATCATCGCTGCGTGGGGACGATGTGGGCGGTGATGATGGGGGGTTGGAACTGGCACTGGTCCTGCCGCTGTCACTTTCATACCCTTCATTCTGGTTGCCTGTGAACGTGTAATCCGCCTCCTCCATGGGGCTCACCACGGCCCACTCTCCCACCATCTGGCTTGCTTGGTTCCTGGCCAGCATGTCGGATGCATTGGCGTCCAGTCGCAGCGCCTTGTGCACCACCATGAACCGTGCCACCTTGATGATCCGTGACAACATTGGTGGGTAGCTCTCCGCGTCGCACCATCCATACTCCCCCCGTCCCAGCACCGCCAACGCGTCTACCAGCGCGCACTCATAATCCTCCACCTGAACCCGCTGGTTCAGCAGCTCAATGCAAAAATCCAAACATGCCATCTGCATCTTGGTTAATTTGAACTTATCTTCTTCTTCTGGCTGGGTATCTCTCTGTCCCTTCTCCTCCTCCTCTTCTTCTTCCTCAGTCATCTGCTCATCCATGGGGTCTGGGCTGATGGAGTGTCGCTGGTCGGCTCCCTCTGTGGTGGCTACCTGCCATAATACCCTCCATGTCTTGCGCTGCCGTGGTGTGAACCGGTACTGTGCGCTCGTCCATTCATGCTCGACCTGCGTTCGGGCGAAAAACATCAACATCTGCTGCCATGGCCTCACGTGCTCGGCGATGCTCTCCTCTCCTCGTCCATGTATGCCTGCAACGGGGTGTGCCGGGTCTGGTGTCGCTCTGTGCGGATGGCCTCGATGCGGACGAAGTGGCCCAGCCGTGTGATGACTCGCTGGCTGGTACGGGCAACCTGCCCCATGGCCTCCCGATGGCCCTCGCGGCCAGTTCATCTGGGCACGTGGTGTCATCCTCGGGCCGCTGCACGCAGTTGACCAGATCATTGGGTGCGATGTTGGTCAAGTACACCGGCCATCTGGTCCGCCGCAGCCATGGGTTGGCTTCATCGTGCTCCCCGGCCTGGATGACATTGCTGGTCTGCCGTTGCTGTTCCCGGTAAAACCGCTCCAGCTCATCAATGACATGGCTGGCTCTGTTCTGGTCTGGCGTGCCGGTGTGCTCAGTAGTCTCCTTAGTCTGGATCTGTATGTAGTGGGAGCCCTTGCGCGATGCAAATACCTGCTGGAACTGCACCTTCTGGCATGATCTGTCCACCTCATCCTGTGCTGCCGTACGCTTTTGTGGCGCTGTACGGCCACGGCTGGGATATGGCGACCAGCTGTGCTTGTTCTGCCAGTGCTTGCGCATGGTGTTCATGTTCCCTGCCACATACTGGCACTGGGGATCCCGCTGGCACCTGTAGCCATCTTGAATGGGTAGTTCCGGGATTGGTTCATTCAGTATTGTGGGCAGTGTTAACTGTGTAGTATGTGGGCAGTGTTAACTGTGTAGTATCTCGAGCCACATTGTCCCACTGTTCAATGTTCTCCTTTATCTGCTGAACCACCGCATGCTTTAGCTGATGGGCCTTGCCTTTCAGATGCCGTTCAATCTCTGTTGGCCACACAGCGTGCTTGCACCGGCGGCATATGATAATGAGGTATGATTCACAGTGGATAAATAATCGATGTTCCATGATGTCGATGCTGGGTCTGTCTTGTGCATTGAATATATATATATTCCTGAATCCACCACAGGC